AAAAATTATTCTTTGACGACCACCAACCAAACCACTAAAGTACCATCCTGTAGACTTTGCCATCATAACACAATCGCCAATCGAAGCCACTGTTAGAATCATCCTTCAGTTTCAGATCTTCCATAAAAGGTAAAATCTTTGTCATATTTTTAGATGTAAAGTCAATTTACAAATAAAGGGTGTTTGAATTTTATTGTAATTTTAATCTAATGGTTGCATTTCTGTTTTTCTGATGACAGAAAGATGCAATCTTTTTTTGTTTGGATATGAATTTTTTGAATTATAAACCGAATAATATTAGGTNTGTGAGGGGGACATTTTTTTGCTCAATTTTGACTTTTGTGTTTCTTGTTTGCAAACGGGAAAAATAAAATTGGCCCAAATATGACAGTGGCTAATTCTGCCAAGGTGTGTATAAAAAGAAATATTTGACCTATATACGCAGTATAATTTTCTGGCGAAGGGTGTTCAACTGACCACCCTTTACAAATAGCTTCGGCTTGCAAATATAGTGGAATGGATGTAGAGGATTTATGTAGTAGACGCCAAACGGTTTAGGATTGAGGCTAAGTTTATTAATTGATTGATAGGTGCAAATAGCCAACGATGCGTGTGGAGTTTTGAATTAATAAAATTTTATTTTGATTGCGAAATTGTGAATTTGCGAATGTTTTGCTATGTTAAAGATGGTGCTTGTTCACTACTACATGTGTATTTTCATAGAAGCTTGTCCTTTGGACCTTCTTTGGTTGGTAACTTGTTCGTGGTGAATAGGATTTTAGTCCTTTAGTAGAGTTGAAGATGGAAGTAAATGGTTGCGGAGGTGGTTTTTAATTAGGTGGTGATCTTAATTGGGATGGGGTTCAAGTGACTGTGGTAGGTGCGGGATGAGCTGGTGAAAGAGCAGCTAATTACTTGCATAATATTTGCCTTATTGACAATTGACACATTAAGATCATTTTTTGCTATTTTCTGATTAACTTTCTCGACAAATCAATCTAGCTTCCAAGAAGAAACTTACTTGAAAAATCATTAGAGTCTGTAGCCTCTTTTCTTTTATATAAATAGCTCTATACCTATATTATGATTTCATATCGTCTCTCTTAAATAGCTGTACCCTATGTTCAAATCAGAAGCACCGGAATACAATATCAAAAGGAAAATCAGAAGCAGTGGCATAAACACATGGGATTGTGAGTAAGAGAATTTAAGGGTATTAGAAGCATGAGTATTTCATACCTCTAACCAAAGCATCCTTTTGGTTTTGGTCTTGATTACAAGTTGAAACGTAGTGGGTTGTAAATTGGGGTTGGAACAGTTCTATAGGAAATGCGAATACCACCATATGCTGCTTTCTTCTTTATTTATTTGAACATGATTGAAGAATATAAAAGGCACGATTCTTTGGATATTGCATCTAAAAGATAGATACATTATTAGTGGTAGAAGCTTGAAATTCCTATATGATATTGTCTGCAATCTCGTTTTTGGTAACTTGAAAATTCTGTCCATTGATGGTGGTGTTGCAATGACCCCAACTTTCTTAGGATTGAGGCGTAGTAGTAGTTGTGATGGTGGTGAATGATGATGTGGTGGTTTCGCAGTGCTTATTGTTAATTCCTGACAGGTCACAGAAATGTAAATGTGTTTAGCTTTACCCCTTTCAGAACGTTATGTGTTATCTTGGCTGCTGCTATATTAGTCGTATCCAATTTTTTACAGGATATCTAATGTTTAACACTTCTGGCAATACTCAATCTATATTGTCATAGGCTTATGTCTCAATTGTTGTTATTTAACAATTGCAGGATATTTCATATAGCTTGTCACACATGGCTGCATTCAAGGCATTTTTGAACAGCCCTGTTGGCCCTAAAACAACTCATTTTTGGGGACCTGTTGCCAACTGGGGATTTGTCATTGCAGTATGTTTATCCACTACAAAATTTAAATTCTGTTATTGTCTCCTGCGATATAACTCTTTCTACTGAGTTGCATTGATGTACTTTGCAGGGATTGGTCGACACACAGAAACCACCAGAGATGATATCAGGCAACATGACTTCAGGTAGAAAATTTGTACTTAAATGAACGTCGACTTGAAATGATATAGGCCCTCATCCTTCTCCTCCTTCTGGTGTTGCAGCAATGTGTGTGTATTCTGCATTGTTCATGAGATTTGCATGGATGGTACAGCCTCGGAATTATCTTCTTCTGGCATGCCATGCCTCGAATGAATCGGTGCAACTCTATCAACTATCACGTTGGGCAAAAAGTCAAGGGTAAGTGATCAATTGCACTTAAAAGAGTGGAACTTTCTGTTACTTTCTGATTTCATTTTGCCTCTGCGCATGATATAGACTTACACTTCCCTCAACAGTATTCCTAGAAGCTAATACAGTCAATGGAGGGTAAAGGGTTGATAAAGATTTATTCTTTAGGTAACCCCTCTCACTGTCCTGTCTTTATTCTCCAGTACCTCCACCACTGAAAGAGTCCCATAGTCCATAGCCAAACGGAGCTAGAGTGCTGAGAATTATTTCCCTAATTTGGTTAAAAAAATTAAGTTAAGGAAAAGTGGAGGGAGGCTGGGAATTTTTACCCCAAAGGTTTTCACCCACACATCTGATTTCTTGCCCATGAGCACTTGCGCCAGGCATCAGAGTTCTCGACAACATGCTCACAGTTCTAGTTTGCTGTCAAAGATGCCAACAGTTTTATATAGGAGATACCTATTAGTTGATAATGTTTTAGTCATTGTTTACGTTTCCTATGATTTCCGAGGAGTGAAAGATTTATACGTGTGTAGAAAATATAAAGAACTTCTAGTTTTATTTATATAATATTGGCCTGAGATAAATATAAATGGGAGTAACATGGTCGATGAGGATTCATATAGCTGACCACAACTTGTTTGGCATTGAGGCGTTGTAGTAGTATTAGTAGTTGTTAGATGCGGAAAACTAAATT